GCGTTGTTTGCTGCACTGGATGGATTTCCCAGCACAATGCAGAAAAAAAGAGGGTGTAAATATAATTTTGGGAATATTTCTGCACTTCACAACACTCCCAGAGGGAGAGAAAGAGAGAGATTTCCAATCAACGTCACTCGCAGTGCATTTGATTGCAAATATTCCGCCCAAAACTGACTATGTTGAATAGTTAAGCAACAGTGGGAGACAGAGAGAAGGTGGTTGATGGACAGGTGGTTTTCTGGTCCAGAGGCCGAAGAGAGAGGCAGAAGAGAGAGAGAGAAAAACACTTCCACAAACACAGTGATTTTTCACGCGTGAGAACACGAAAAGTTGCGTGGCGGCCGTTCAACTCGTTCGGCGTGTCGCTAAAGACTGAGGAGATGGAATTCTTCATCGCCCGAAGAGCTTTCCACCCCCGCGCCGCAGAAAGGGAAAAAGCTCCTGCGAGACTCTCCTCAACTGTCGTCACTCGTGAGTGTGTGAGCCGGAGAGAGAGTATAATGAGGAGAGGAAAAAACATTTGTTGAACCCCCCAAAATTTGATTTCAATCACTTCTTTCAGGGGTGAATTCTCCCTCCAAAAAGCAACCCCCTTTGGCACTTTCTCCTTCATTCATTTCCCATTTTAATGTCTTGGGCTATTGATTTTGCCACTGCGTTACGCATTTCACCTATTATTATGCCGACACACACATCTCAATCATCCCCCTTAACGGGGGTGTCATTTGTCGGACGTCTCAGTGCGAAAATAGTCCCTCACAAGACCGGCTAAATATGTAACTTCAGGGGTTGATGGTGAGAAAACAGAGACACGACAGAATGGACAAGTTTACAAATAGACTCAAGCAATTTCGTGTCCATTTCCACCCTTCTCTCGCTCTCTTTCACCCCCCCTTTTTTTCGCAATTGTACATCACAATAAAATACCCTCACTTGTTGCATTTTCCACAGCGCATGAGCGGCTTTTTGGGCACTTTTCTCTCCCCTCTCGAGTCTATTTTATGTACAATCCCCACTCTTGCCACCCCCAAAGAGTATCTAAGGCCACTGACATCATCCGTGTACATAATTTCAATACGCCACCCTCTCCACCACCCCCTCTCCCACCACTATCGCAGCGCGACTACACCGGTAGTCAGGGTGAATTGTTGAGAAAATGAATGAAGCTGCCAATTATCCGCAGATGGATTTAATATCCCTGCATTTTCCGTCATTTCCCACTGGCAAAACGCGACCCTCTTATATGATCCGCTGGGGAAGTAATTCAATGCGCCTCAAGAGACCAACCCGTGTTGCGATGAAATATTAACAGTCCCAGAATTACTCTCGCGTCAACATTGAATTAAATTGAGCAGAAGGAATTTTGTGCTACAAATAGCGTAATTTGATTAATGCACAACGCGTTCACTTTGTCCTTTGTGATCCTCGAGAAGCTCAGCGACAACGGAAAAGGTGCAATAATTCTGCCGAGAGTTGCTGGAAAAGCTCGGGAAGCTTTTGCAAGTCCAGAGCAGCAAAATTATGGCAGAATGATAAAATTACGTCAAATTAACCACCATTTGAATGAGATTTAAAGGTCAAAAACGACAATATTACACATAAATATTCAGGAAATGTTGATTTTCAGGTTAAATCTGAATATTTTAGTTAAATTTTGCGCAAAAATTCTCTTGATATCTTGGTTTTTTTATATCTTACTTTTGTGATATCTTGGTTTTCTTGATATCTTGTTATTTTTGAAATCTTGTTATTTTTTATATCTTGTATTTTTAAATCTTGTTTTTTTATATCTTGGTTTATTTTATATATATTTTTTTAATCTTGTTATTTTTTATATCTTGGTATTTCTTTAATGTTATTTTTTTATATCTTGGTTTATTTTATATCTTGTTTTTTTTTAAATCTTGGTTTATTTTATATCTTGGTTTTTTCAAATCTTGTTATTTTTATATTTTCGTTTTTTTTAATCTTGTTTTTTATATCTTGGTTTATTTTATATCTTGGTTTTTTTTAAATCTTGTTATTTTTATCTTGTTTTTCTTGATATTTTGGTTTTCTTGATATCTCAATTAACTATATGAACTCTAACCTATGAAAAATCCTTTAGAGCTATTAATTAAGTTATTTTATCATCAAGACAACAGTTAATGTTGTGTTTTCTTCTTCAGTAACTCTTTAGATTTGTCTTTGATCTTTAAGTTTTCTCTCAATTTCAAGTAAATTAATTATTTCATTCATATTTTTAAAAGTAACCGGAATTATTACTGTTGAATGACCAGTTTTTGACCACATTCTAACCAAAAAAAAATTGTTATTTCATATTTAAGCAAAAGCTGTTTACGTACATTTTAATAAGACAATTTCGCCCTAAAATTGAGTACTTTTCAATAGAAAAATCTTATGCAAAATCGAAACGTTAAATGTGAGTCAGAATCTGGTTATTTTGGCAACTAAATTGACTAACATCATCGTGTTGCTTGGGATGTTCTTTAATGATTCATTATCAAATTTCAATTCGCAATTTGTTAATGCGTTTCGAGTCATTTTAGCTCGCATTCTGGCCAAAGTTAAAAGTCACATCACGGCGAAGCTTACAAAATAGAGTGCAGAAAGCTCGTCCAAAATAGAGCTTATAATTTTCCAACCATGTTTCCCCATATTCGATATATAATTTTCCACTTTGACGCTCACCCTTTCCCAAAACTTTTAATTAAACTTGGGCAAATTCACAGCAGCGTCCAGCTGAGGGTTAGTTGTGAATTCTGATAAATTCCCATCCCTTTGACAAAAAAGTCTCCTTTGGTCAGAAGCAATTTGTAAGTTTCACAGTGGCTCAGATTACAATTTTCCAAGGAGCATCGCTCAATATTGCTGCGGAGCAATGCAAAAAGCACTCTCTAATTACCACTACTTAAGCTCTGCCAACATTGCAATTTCACCCACTCGCAATCGACATGAGTGTCAGAGCGAGAGAGAGAGCGAGAGAGAGAGAGAGAGAGAGATTCTATCTCTTGCGGAACACTCAGAGTGAAAACTTTCAATCAAATATTTGCTTCGTGTTTACCAAAAAGAAGAAATATGAAGAGCGATGCAAGATTTTCTCCCATTTCTCACTCTTTGACAAGCGAAATAGAAATTTAGACAAATCTCTTGTGAAATACACTGTGAGATTTCCATGTTATTTCCATCTGCCAATCCAAGGAAATCAATCACTCGCAACAAACTGCCTTCGAGAACGCAATTCTTTTTCGCTGAAGATGAGAAAAACTACGCCGTGTCTTGGGAATGGGAAATAAAATACTCTTTCACTCTCTTCAGGCGCGCTCAACAAGTTTCCCAAGGATGGGAAAGAGAGAAAAGTGGATTTTATCCTGATGCCATAAAACTTCTTTCATAATTCAATTTTCCTTTAGTTGCATCAAAGTGAAAAGTTTCCCTGCCTTTGACGCGAGGCGATTTGAAAAGAAAGTTGCCAGCTTAATTGGGGAGGATTTAAATGATGCTAGAGTTAATTTGAAGAATAGAGAGATGGAAATTAAGACAGCATTAATCAATGATTAAATTAATGCTCAAGTGACTTTCATTTCGTCACAACTTTCTCGCTCAGGGAAAACTTATCATAAATATTTGATGTTCACAATCAAAATTCAGGAGTTTGATTTACATCTCAGATTTACATCACAAAACTCAAAAATTTCATCATCATCACGTCTGCAGTGCCAAAACGGTGAAAAATAATGCGATTTTGCATGAAAACATCCGCCATTTTGAAAACACATAAAAGACGTTTCTTTATTTTTCTCAGACGCTATGCAATAAATTTACTCCAAAAATTAATATGTTATAACTGGTATCAAGATCTTTCCAACGAACCCTTACTTTAGACGCTAGGCCTTTCTGAGCCCTAGATTTTAGGTTCCAGATTTCTAACTAAAAAATAGACATAACTCTGGTTCTAATTATCCGATCAACATAGATTTAGGCTCATTGGAAAGGTCTTGCTAAAAGCTATCTTCCATTCAAACATAATAATTCGGTACAACCAACGCTAGGGGCGCTAGAGACACTAAACTGATTTTCTAAACTTTGAAATTGTATAACTCGAGAACGAAACGACGGATTTTCTTTAAATTAGAGTATGTTGTAGCTGACATCAAGACCTTTCCAAAGAACCATCAACTATGAAGATTGACATAATAGGAGCGGAGTTATGGTGGTTTAAAGTTTACAGCTTTACCAGTTTGTATTTCCACTGTTTATGGATCGATTTCGATCATCTCTTCACCAAAGAACGTCTCTCGACGTCCTTTAACCTCGACGAATTATATATGAGCGCCTGTATCTTGGCAATTCTGTTTAGAATTCTAATAAAACTGTAATATAACCGAAGTTATGGCAGTTTAAAGTTCTGATTTGAAAACGCTCTAACTTTGGTTCTATTTGTTCAATCTTTATCATCTTGAGCTCATTGGAAAGGTATTGAAAAATTCTACAGCTATTTAGAACAAAATAAGTTTATCTGTCTATTGCTTAAGCCTTAAGGTCAATCCGAGTTATGTTGATTTGAATTTTCCATAGAAAAAAGCTACAGTAAATGCCAGCCAGTTAGAAGCACACGTGAAGCGTGAGCTTATCCACATATTTATGATAAAAATTGTAGCAAAATAATTCACAGTGGCGCTGAAAATTATATGCACCGGAGAAATTTATATTTCATGCATTTTCTCTGCAATGGATGTTAAAGTGATGAAATTTTAATTGGAACTTCTCAATGCAAACACACAGAAAGCTCCGCATTATGCACAACCGCACAGATGCCTGAATAATTAGGGGTTCAGTGGCCGCGGGCAAAGGAGAGTCAGTGAGGAAGAAAGTTAATTAAATTTTCCACTCGGCGTCGCCTCGAGAAAAGTGATGGTCAGTGTAAAGGGCGAAATATGCAACACGGTGGATAATGAGGTTTGATGGAAAATATTCATCAGGAGAGTAATCCTCACCTCGCGCGTCCTTCGGCTCCCACGCAGCGAGAGTCTCTTGCCCCAGTCGCGCTTCTGTGCATCCACAGAATACGAGCGCAGCATTGGCGTTGACGTTGCAATCTCCATTTTTTCCGCGCTCGATTCTCTCTTTCTTCTTCTGGAAAAATGCCTCTCAGCAAAGTCTGGGCGCGCTTTTTTCCTCCTCCTTGGCAAAAACTCTCACTGCTCGTCTCTTCCAACCCTCGCGAAGCTCAATATAATCTGCACACAGACGATCTCCACTCTTGTACAAGTTTCATTGAGTCAACATTTGCGCTCCATCAACATATTTTGAAGCCCTTTCCATCGCGCGCACCGAAGAAAAACTTGTCACATTTCTTCTGTGCGGCACGAGAGAAATTTTACACTTGCAACTCTGCCGTGAAAGTCCTGGAAAAAAACAAACAGAAACACAACCAAAATTAAATACACAGCAATTTTCAACACTAAAAGACAAGTTTACAAGATGTTTAATTCCCCTTCTATTTTCGGGGCGAATTTCTAATAGAAAAAGTTCAACAACCACTCGCGCGCGTCTGCGGGAAACTTTTAGGAGTGCTTTTTTTCATGCTTCTTTTGGCCACTGAGACACCGTGGAATGAAAGGAACTTAGACACGAATACAAGTCGACGGGTGCCTTGAAAACTATAAAAAGTCAAAATCGCCATTTTTCAGCAAAGCGAATTCAAAACTTTGCATTAAAACAGCTGCGAAATTTGCCAAATTTACTTCAAAATACTCAAAATGCCTTCAAATCGTTCGTTAAAGTGAAAATATTGCTCTGTATTTTTTATTTTGTAAATGTTTTATTGGTATTTATTGAAATTTTTCACTAAAATGTGGCAAAATTAATAGAAAATCTGAAAATATTACTTTTCAAAGTCGATTTTTAATGGTTTTTCAGTCGATTTTATACAAAAAATCAACTTTTCATACTTCAATTGGACTTTTTCTTAATGTTTTCTAGTGAAAAAATTGAAAAGATATGAGAAATATTCATTTAAAGTCCAAAAAAACATTTTAGGATAATTCTGAAAATCTACAAATATTTTCTAAAAAGACGTTTTTATGCATTTGACTGCAATTTTTGAGACATTTTTCTTGGGGAAAAATTGTTCAGCGTAAACAATGAAAATTCGACTTTTCATTCGCAAAACATGACAATTTTTTTCCATTTATGCTTTTTAGATAAATAAGATTTTTTTCTATTGTCTCATAAGATACAAATCTTAAAATTCTTGTACAGAAAGAACAAATAAAAGGCTTTTCAAAAATTCATAAGACGAAAACTATGATAAATCGACTTTTCATAGTTTTCCATTCACCCGTCGAAGTGGAAGAGGAAAATTGCGAGAAAAAAAACCCCTTTTTGTCAGGGATTTTCTCTGTGGGTGTGCGGAAAAATTATTACTCGCCCTACAAATTTGCTAAACAAGGTTTTGGCGAGAAACTTTTCCAAGAAAGAGCGAGAAAAACACAGACACAAATATTTTATGCACTTAATTCCGCAGAAATTGATTTCCATCATCATCATCATCATCTCATTGCCATCGCTGAAGATTGCGGAATTTAATTCCGCCGTGATTCCTTTTCCTGCTCCGAAGAAGAGGGAGTGAAATTGAAAAATCTTCCGAATTATTATGTCTCCCACTCTTTCTCGTCCATTTTACCATCTCAGCGTATTATTTTATCTCCGGCTGATCGCTTGAACCCCACCAAAAACAGAGCATCACAACTCTGTGTTGTAATCGAGACACTTTTGCCGCAAAACTCCCCCGAAAATTCATCCACCAAAAACTCCGTTGGAAATTCGGGGGGAAAGTTTTCAATTGAAAATTGAATTTGTGCTCTTTTCCCAGTCGCCTTTGTTCTCTGTTTGGTTTGGGAAGCGAAACAAGACAATTTTTTGCCTATTTTCCTGCTCACTTTTCTGGCGCAATTGAACTTTTTCCACCACCTTCTCCACCCACAGAAGCACAGCGTCATAGCCAGCGTCAGGAGACAGTCAGACTTTTGAGTAGGACATCGTTGGAAAGGTTTCTTGGCTGCTGAGAATCATTAAAAATCTCAACTCATTTCAATAATTAGGCTCTGAGATAATTGGAAAAAGAAGAATCAAATGTGTTCAAAATGGTGAATTTTCGGACAATTTAAAAGTCTATGAATGGAATATTGTACTTGAGCAACATTTTTTCACAACTTTCAATCAAACAGCACTGAAAATGTCTGATAACTTGATGTTTTTCATTTTATTCATGGCGTTTTTACAAGAATTGAAGAAAATGTGAAGTTTGCGTCAAATCTGTCACTGCTAAAGTAAAGAAACCAATGAAAATTCTAAACTTTTGAAGGTAAATGTCGTCAAAATTGAAAGAAATATTGAATTTTTAGCACTTAGAGCAAAATTGGTCCAAAATTTCACAAGTGTCCTAAGTGAATTTTCGTCACTGTATTAATGTGTCTCTGCTAAGTTACAGGAATCAATGAAAATCATTAAGTTTTCTTTCCATTAGATAATCTATTTGCCATGAAATAATCTTCTTCAGTTACTTAAAGGCTTTCTTTATTACTTCTTTCTGAATGTGCCTCAAAATTGTCCAAAACTACCCCAAAATGGGGCATTTTTGTACAAAATGCCGTGAAATGGAAAACTCATTCGGTGAAAAACCCTTAAATTCTCCGATCTTGGGACAAAGCGCCCATTTATATCTTATAATCAAGGAAATTCAAAAGGCCGAATAGAAAATCTCTTCAATGTTTGACTTTTCTTTTTTGGGAAAATGAATTGAAAGTTGATACTTAAATTTTAGTACCAAATTCCCCCACTTTTCGCCTGTTTTATTGAATGAAACACAAATTTATTTTAATTAATTCCCTCGCAACATATTTCTGGGAATGAGGCTTACAAATTTCCTGGATTTATTGATTAACTGGAGAGATTTTGATGTTCTCGGAAAATACAAACTGAAATTTTCCCATTTTCTCTATTTTTTCCCCCCTGCGCAAAATTTACAAAACCAATAATTAATGTGGGAAAAATGGAACATTTGAGGTGAAATATTGTGTAATTTAACAGTAAAACAGAATTAAAATTGACACATTTTTTATATGATTGTCACATGAAAATCCCATTTTATTAGTAAAACACGTGAAAAATATTTTCAAAATATGCGAAAATGCTTATAAAAAATACACGGCATATTGAGATGTAGAAAATTGTAGATATTTAATGCATATTTTATTCTGTGCACAACAAAGTTACTCAACTAACCATCAATTAGTCAACAAACTGCAAATGCAATTTTGAGCGGATTTGCATTCGTCAATTTTTCCCTGGCGCCAAATTGATCCACAAAATGTTACAATTTCTGCAATTTAGCCAACTGAACGACAAGGAACGCTTCGCGCATCAGTGTCAGCGAATAATAGAGTTTTAGGGCAGTAATAAACAAATTACACTTGCCATGAATTTGTAATTTGCACAAGTCTCCGCCATGGTTTTATTTGCACACAAAATACATTCGTGACCACATAGAAAATTAGGCTCCAATCGATCATCCCCATCAATGCACTTCCCGCGCGCCTTCAGTGGGCGCCTAATTGAAATGCGGCTTCGGACGCAAAATTCAATTGATGGAAATTGGATATTGCGACGCGAGAGAACAAGTGAAATTATATATCACACTGTGTCTCGATGTTTCTCCATTTTCCTCCTCCCCCACCCTTTGTGCCCCGCTGTCCCCTCGCCAACGCCCCCTAAAGTATCCAATTTCACTCAGCGCGCGAGATTTCCGCTGTCACGCTGAGGATCATTGAAGATGACGACATTTCTTCCGCGATTTTCCCATTACACAGCAGCTATTTTTAATTATGCTCAAATAGATTAATTTCACTGCAATTACACTAACTCAACTGCCATTGTCGCCGCGACTTTCATTGCGCCGTGATTTCGCCAATAAATATGCTGTAAAAAGCTTCGCATTTCATTCCAAACGAAATCTCCTATATAATGAGGCGCAAAAAAGGAATTTATAGAAAAACTTTATAGCTTTAAACAACACTGAGAGGATTACAAATAAAGCTTGCGCATGAACTACTCAAAGGAGCTTTTTTAATTAATTGCAAATGATTTTCATGATGGGAAGAGCAAAATTATCAATGCAATTAACAGAAATTATTAATAAATTGATGTGGCAAAGTAAAAAGTTTAAATTTCATGCAATTCTCCTAAAACAGTTAGAAATGTCCACTGAAATTCTCATGTCCCATAGAATTCCACTGGAATTCCATAAGACTGTCCATTGTGTAATATGACCGTGATAATAAATGTCACACAATTTGTCCGCATTTTTCTCATGATAACCTAACATTTTCCCACAATTTACCAATAAAATATCATATGATGATATTTCTTTTTCCAGTTTTGTCACTTTCAATGCTATTATAATGGAAAATATGTGGAATTCTTGGAATAAATCCAATATATTTCTCAGTGTGACACAACAATTGTTGGTTATTCAACATTTTTTGCACGATCGCACATTTATTAGGCACATTTTCCTGAGCAGAGAAGTGGAATTATAGGAAATGCGTGAACGCATTGTTAAATATCACGTTTGGTGAAGTTTAAATCCCACCCCCAAAAATCCACCTTCGGCACATCAGTATCACCTGCAATTGAGTGAAAAACGCGTGAAAAGGTGGCAGAATATTGACGAAAGGTTGTGCCAAATTCACATGCGATTAAGGGAATAAAATATATATATTTTTTTTGACGAGGCACAAAATGCTAGAATGTTTTAATTCAATTTCCGGGCAAATCTTTTACGATATTCCAGCAATATGTGCGACATGATGTGTTCGTGCCAATGACCCAGAGAAGCTCACAGCAGATAAAAGCGAACACACGTGGAAAGTGTGCAATAAACGTGAAATCTTGGCTGTGAAATAAAATGAAATTGCGATTATTTCCATTTGCGAAGGTGTGATTGTTAAGATTCTACGACGCTGTGGAGGAAAGTGAAGACATTCTTCTGGCGCTATTGTGATGGCATCCCTTGTATTTCGTCGTGTGTCTGGACACAAAGAGATAATTGGAAAGTATATAAGAACATGGGCGAGAATCTGTCTCAGATGATCTCTGTCGTCCATTGTTATTGTCCCTCCCGCTGAAAATTCAGCGCAAATTCACAAAAACACACGCACGCCAAACGTCTTTGGCACCGGGCAAAAGTGTATTTTACCTCACAAAAGGAACCGACTTTTGTTCCCTTTCATCATCAACACAACCAGAAGTAATATGTCAGAGGAATATTTCGCTCACAGACTCGAATTATTCCATGTCAATCAAGGGGAAAATCACTCGCAAGTTGAGATCATTAACTTTGTGA